TTGGATTCCTCCTCCACAAAATAATGTCTGGGAAGAACCTCTAGGCAGAACGTCAAGGGATTTGTTGGGGTCACCTCACTTGTTTCTCTTGTCTACTCCTTACATTTAGATGTGAACTCCAATTCTCTCCTTTAGAATCTGGTTAGGCCTCCATTGTGCTTGACCAATGGGCAGAAGTGGTATCTTGGATTGGGAATACTACGTGCTAAGACTCTTGGAACCCTTGCCCCAGGGAAGCCAGCCACCACATAAGTGGTTTGATTACCCGGAAACTGTCCTAGGGAGAGGCATTGCTTGAGTGTTCTGGTTGGCAGTTCCAGCTGACTCCATTCTTCCCGCTGTGGCCATCAACATTAGGCCTGGTGGATACATCTGCCCTGGACCCTCCAGACTGTCTCATCTGTCAGCTGTGTGTAATCAGGTGACCTCGCTAGATGACACAAGGAGTAGAGAAATCACTGATCAATTTCCTGACACACAAAATGGTGAGACATATGAAAATGGTCGTGTTTGGTCAACAGGGAGGTAGCTGGTAACGTAGCAGCAGATCCATGGGGCATACTCAGAGACATATTTTTGACTTAGAAGACTTGTATGTTGTTGGCATAATGTTTCCTCAGGTTGAGTGTTAGTAGTTTTTCCTCAATGCTTTTTGGGGATTGTGTAGGGCATATGTTTTGGTCTGTGTATAGCTTGATTTTTTTTTAAGATTTATTTATTTATTTGAAAGTCAGAGTTACACAGAGAGAGAAGGAGAGGAAGAGAAAGAGAGAGGTCTTCCATCCGCTGGTTCACTCCCCAATTGGCCACAACGGCCGGAGCTGTGCCCATCCAAAGCCAGGAGCCAGGAGCTTCTCCCGGGTCTCTCACACAGGGCCCAAGGACTTGGGCCATCTTCTACTGCTTTCCCAGGCCATAGCAGAGAGCTGGATGGGAAGCAGAGCCCACCTGGGATGCCGGCGCTGCATGTGGTGACTTTACCAGCTACACCACAGGGCGGTCCCCAGTTTGATTTTCAACATGCGGAAAGGGTTCCCTATCACTCATTCGTATCTTAAATCATCTGACAGTCTTCGTTGTTTCTCTGGTCCCAGTTAGATTCTGCTGTGTCAGAAATCTCACCTGAGGAACAGCACCTTAATATTTTTCCTAAGAGCTCAGTGCCTGATTTATCCATTCTGTTTTTCCCAGCTCTCCCTCCCGTCACTCTTGAGATTTGCGATTTCTGCACCGCTCCCCTTCTTCCAGCTCCAACACTCAGGACCCTCACACTCCAAGTAGCTTGCTCACATGAGCAGGCAGAGAGCCAGTAGCTACCCTTTTCTAATCGCAGGGGAAGAGGCATAGCTATGACTCATACAGCTCATCCAAAGACCACAGTTTAATGGGTTACTCTGATGATTGTGTCAAGGCTACTATACTTGTCATTTTTGTTGATTCTAAGCTTAGAGTAGACCTGTAATGGCTTTTATTTTTCCAGTGGAGTTACATTATACTAATATTTAATTTTTCAAAATTCAATTACATTGTGGAGTTAAAGTAAAAAAAAAAAAACACAAAAGTTCAAACATGGCACATGATGTTGCCTGTCATTCTCTTAATGAGATTTGTCCCTGAGTGTGCAAATCTTGGTGGGAGATGTAAATATGTGCTCTTTCATATTTGGCTTCCATGTGCCTCTTGTAGTAAAAGTATTCACCACATTAGTATGACGGCAGTTACTAACGATACAGATTTGTGTGACTTCTAGAAGTAAGCTAAGCATTGCATCAAGAATTTAACCATGGGTGGACACTGTGGTGCAGACGGTTCAGCTGTCTCTTGGGACAGTGGCATTCCACGTTGGCGTGTGGGTTTGGATTCTGGCTCCTCTGCTGTCGATCCAACTTCCTGCTAATGCCTCCAGGGAGACAACAAAGGATAGGTTAATTGCTTGGGTTTCTGCCATCTATGTGGGAAACCCAGATGGGGTTTCAGATTTCTGACTTCAGTCTGGCCCAGCTCTGGCTGTTGCAGGTATTTGGGAATTGAACCAGTGGATGGACTATCTCCCCCCCCCCGCTCCTTCTCTAGCTCTGCCTTTCAAATAGATAAAAATAAGCATTTTTACAAAAACAGTTTGACCAAAGAAATTTCATTCTGTGCCAACACTGAGGAAAAAAAAATAAATTGTGCTAGATATATAAGGGATATTACAGTTGTGTGCAATGTGGCCTTTTCCCCAAGAGCTCTTCAAAAATATTTTTTCATTTTTTAAAAATAATTGAGTGGTTTTCATAAAGATGACTGCATTGTGGTGCATGTTTGGCTCAACAGTTAAGAGGTTGCCTAGGACATGTACATTCTACATCCAAGGGCCGGGTTTGAATTATGGCCCTGCTTCTCATTCCAGCTTCCTGCTAATGGCCACCCTAAGAGGCAGCAGGTGATGGCTCAAGTACTTGGGTCCCTGCCACCCGTGTGGGAGAGTTGATCTGGTTCTGGGATCTTGGCTTCAGCCCAGCTATTATAGGCATTTGGGGAGTGAAGGAGCAAATGGAAGATCTGTCCCTCTCTCTATCTCTGTGTTGGTTAGAAGACAACAAAGTTTCCAGCGATAACACAGATACCTTGAATAGAAGTGCAAAAGCATAAAATTGCTTCATCTAGACAGCTATATGGGGCACAAGGCACAGCAGCAAACTCCCTGCTGGAGTGGAAAGTTACCTGGCTGTCATCTCCTGCAAAGGTGTCTTGCTGTTGGTGGCCACAACCTATTGAAGGAGAGAACTGTTAGTCTTTCAGAGCTCTTTTTCCCATGCTCTCAGAGGTTTTTACTCCTTGATCATTTTTCACTGTTCTGCAGACGTTTGTTATGTTTCTAATGTTCACCAGATGCAAAGCAACTCGTGACCACCCAGCACATTCCCGAATGCTTACTGTAAGAAGAGGTGAACTGGAGATCAATTGCCCGGGGCTGTTTGTCCAGGTGCACTAACCCCCCACCCCCACCCCGCCCCAGTCCCAGGCCTCCTGAAGCTATTTCCAATGCCATACACGCATAGGGCACCACATTTAAAATCTCCAAGAGTACAGTGAAAATAAATCCCATTTCAAGAGTAATTGTTAGTTGTAAATAATTCTTGCTTATAATATGCAAATTCATTGAAATGATCTTCTGTTTGTCGGTTAGGCTGGGTGAGGTGTTTTTTTTGTTTGTTTGTTTGTTTTTTTTTTTTTGGTTTCTTTTTATTTATCGGTCACTTCCCTTCAATTTTGTATCACATTGTTTCTTCCTCAAATTTCTGGTCAGATGACAGTGCAGTTTTTCTGTTTTTTTTTTTTTTTTTTAATTTTTGCATAGTTATTCTAAGGGGAAATTTAAAAATGTATTTTTGGTGATGGTTACAGGGCTCTGGGAGAAACAGGATGGGTAGATCCATGTGTCCAGCCTGACATCTTGCCCTAAACTTCATGTTTGTGTTTGGTTTTGATGCTTTTGGTATCTGAACTCCTAATTTTTGTCTTTCCCACAAGGATTTTGCTTGGTCTTTGCCTGCTTTGTACTCCCTTGAGTGGAATTCCTGTGCTAATTCTCATCTCAGAACCTAATTCTGTCCTGGTATTGTGTTTAATGTCACGGCTGACCTGCTCAATCCCTCCAAATCAGGGTGAGAACCCGGGCAAGGCTTCTTCCTGTTTTACCCCAGTGCCCTGTGGTGGTGGCAGCTGTCTCTGGCCTCACTCTCCTCGGCTGCCAGCTCCCATGGCAGTCTCCTTTCAGGGCCTGGAACAGAAATCCATGCCCAGTTTTGCTTCACAGACTGTTACATGCTTTCCTCTGCCTAGAGTGACCTGGTCCACGTGCTCCCACGCTTTGTTATTGCTTAGTCATTTTCAGGCCTCCTTTCCAAATCCACTTCTTCAAAAAGACCCGCCCTGACTCCCTACGTAATCTAGTCCCAGACCACCACGGCGTTTTCTTCATGGCCATTCGTTACAGTTTGTAGTTATGTGTATTTGCATTATAATTTGATGACTATATCTCTTTTCTGAGACTACCAAACTCCCCATCACATCCTGAGGATATTGTCTATTTTCTGTATATTATTCTCAGCTTCTACCACATGGCCCATATTGCTTGTTGAATGAGTCAATGAAATGCCAGCAAGTGTTCCCTAGTGTATGAATGAAGACTTGGAATGATGAATAAGGCTGATACTTGACTTCTTGGATTTCTGACATTAAATATTTATATTTATAGCATAGGACAATATATATACAGCTATATATCTACAGCATAGAATAACAACTTATATTGACAGTATAGAAATTAGATGGTGACAATTGTAATTGATACCAACATATAGACTTCTTATATATTTTTGGTAGTAATATTTTATTTGCTAACCTCAACTCACCTATGTGTCAGCGAATCACTATTGATAAAAACATGATGAGGTGCTTTGTTTCCATTTCCCAGCTTTATTAACAATATACAACGTTCAACAACCAGCATATGGCAACTTTAATCAACTAATAATGATATGCTGTCATAGATTCTATGACATTGAATTGGCTCGTATTTTTAAAATAAATGCATAGAACACTTCCTCATGTTATAGGCACAATAGAGTCCACAGGATCCACTTACATTTTTAAATAATTTTACAACTCTATACATTGTAAGGTATTTTGATTAGGATTCTTAGCTAAAAACAGATCAGTCCACTCAGACTAATTTAAGCAGCAAAAGGTGTTAAGAAAACCACAGTCTTGGTGTTATTGCATGTCCCATCTGTTCAGGACAGCCTTGTTTTACCCTTGAAATTATGGATTGTGTCTCTTTCACTCTCAAATGCGTTTTAGTTCAAATGATGAACTGTATGAGCCCTAACAGGGTTATGAGAGAGCTGGAGAAACAGATGAAGCTCTAGGAACAGCACCTTGCAGCACACCACAGACCTGGATGAATGAGGGGGCCGTTTGTCAGCATCACTGACTCAAGAACCGCTCCACAGGTCCGGCCTGGGGAGGAAGCCGCAATCATTCATTGCCACTGACTCTACGATGTGATTCAGCGCTGGATTAGAAAGGAAGCCTCTCTCACTGCCTCTGCCTTTGACGCCATCCTCATCATCAGAAAATCTGCCAACCCCATTTTCCCACGTAGCAGAAACCAGGTAACTACCTGCTGTATTTGTAAAAAGAGTCTGTAAAAATGTGGCTTTTGGGATTCCACTGGGGGAAAGTAAAACAAAGTTAGACACAGTTGAAAGTGGGAAGAGCTTTAAAAAATCCTTGCGTAATCACAAAAGAAAGGTGCCTGCTACAGTCCACTCTGCCAGGACATACATCTATTTTCCTAACTCAAAACAAACATAGCAGTGTAAGCTTTGTTCCCGTCTACAAGGTGAAAATATCTCATACAAACCAAAACAACAGCAACAAAAGCAAACAAACAAACAAAAACCTCTCCCTCCCCCCAAGCAAGGAGACTTCTAGTAAAATCTTCTCTAGGCCTAATTTATGGTGATGCTTGTGTTTCCTCAGTTCTACCTTGATGTTTTGTAATATGTGGGCTTAATTGCAAAGTAAACACCGTAGACATGTATTTTAAAAAGCAAAGGTAAGGCTGGTGCCGAGGCTCACTAGGCTAATGGTCCGCCTGCAGTGCCGGCACCCCGGGGTTCTAGTCCCAGTCCGGGTGCCGGTTCTGTCCCAGTTGCTCCTCTTCCAGTCCATCCCTCTGCTGTGGCCTGGGAGTGCAGTGGAGGATGGCCCAAGTGCTTGGCCCCTGCACCCGCATGGGAGACCAGGAGAGGCGCCTGGCTCCTGGCTTCGGATCGGCGCAGCGCTGGCCGCTGCGGCCACTGGGGAGTGAACCAACGGAAAAGGAAGACTTTCCTCTCTGTCTCTCTCTCTCACTGTCCACTCTGCTTGTCAAAAAATAAATAAATAAATATATTAAAAAAGCAAAGGTAAAGTATATAATCAGTTGTATTTTCTGCAAATGATATTTATTGACTTTTTTATTTTTTTCAAAGATTTATTTATTATTTGAAAGTCAGAGTTACTCAGAGAGAAGAGAGGCAGAGAGAGAGAGAGAAATTGGTTCACTCTCCAATTGGCAGTAACGGCTAGAGCTGTGCCGATCTGAAGCCAGGAGCCAGGAGCTTCTTCCGTGTCTCCCACGTGGGTGCAGGGGCCCAAGGACTTGGGCCATCTTCTACTGCTTTCCCAGGCCATAGCAGAGAGCTGGATGCGAAGTGGAACAGCCAGGTCTTGAACTGGAGGCCATCTGGGATGCTGGCGCTTCAGGCCAGGGCGTTAATCTGCTGTACCACAGCACCGACCCCATATATTGACTGTTTATAACTTTCTTCATTAACTAACTATTTCATTTTACTTTTATCTTCAGATCAGTATGGACTCGTTTAACAGAGGTTCGTTAGCTAGTGTGGAGCAATTCAAATGTTCATTCCTTGTAATTTGAACTTCTGATAGTCCTGCTTTTTGTGGGAGCTCAAGTTGTCCATCATTTACAAATGGAACTTGGTAAAACTAAACAGCACCCTATGGGAACCCTGGTGTCAGAGAAATACTCTTCTGTGTCTACATTATGGATGAAAGGGTGCGAAGTAAAAAATTTTTAGTGAGCCCTGGAGGAAATAGTGAGAAGGGCCACTCCTATTTTCACTTCTTGATTTCTAGCTCATGTTTTCTGGCTAAGGAAGAAAAAAAAAACCACATCTTTGTCGCTATTTTATAGCATATATAGTATCTGGTAGGATAACATCTCAACTTTGTAAATGTCTCCTAACAGGCACCAACACAGGTACCTTTGGGGCAAGTGTTTAGCTTGGTGGTTAAGACATCCATGTCCCACGTTGGAGTACCTGGGTTTGATGTGTGACTTTGGCTCCTAAATCCTGCTTCCTGCTAATGCAGACCTTGGAGGCAGTGGTGATGGCTCAAGAATTGGGCTCCTGCCATGCATGTGGGAGACTTGGACGAAGTTCCTGGCTGCTGGCTTCCACCCCCACTGAGGGCCATTGAGGTCATTTCGGGGGAAGTTTAGCAGTGGACAGGAATTCTGTCTCTCAAAAAGCAAGAAATAACCAAATTTTCAACAAGTCACTGAAGATTTATAAAGCCAACTGCTTCTGGTTAGAAATCTTAATGCATCCTAAATGCATCAGTCCAATGTCCTAATCATTTTGCTATAAAATAAGATCTGTGGTCAAAAGCAATATTATATGAATTACAGTGAATAAAGCACTTGCTAAGTCCACAGATGGTGTTGCTGGCAGAAGCTTGATGACCAAGAGACAAATGCATGTCAAGAATCTATCAATTTTAGAAAGGACTGATTCCAACGCTTGCTTATTGAATGAGGCTCTATGTGATTAATCTACCATCAGATGGCTTGTTATTCTTTTGGGGGGGTATGGTAGCACATGATAGGGCTCATGTTTGTCCACTGCTGCTTTCTTTCTTTTTTTATTTTTAAAAATTTATTTATTTATTTGAAAGAGTTACACAGAGAGAGAAGGAGAGGCAGGGAGAGAGAGATAGAGAGAGTCTTCCATCTGCTGATGATTCACTCCCCAATTGGCCACAACTGCCGGAGCAGCACCCATCTGAAGCCAGGAGCCAGGAGCCTCCTCCGGGTCTCCCACGTGGGTGCAGAGGCCCAAGGACTTGGGCCATCTTCTACTGCTTCCCCAGGCCATAGCAGAGAGCTGGATTGGAAATGGAGCAGCCAGGACTTGAACTGGCACCCATATGGGATGCTGGCATTGCAGGCAGCGGTTTCACCCGCTACGCCACAGCGCAAGCCCCTACTGCTGCTTTCAAACGGGGCATTGGGCATAGAGGAAGCCTGTGCTGAAACATTCTGTACCTTTCTGTATGAGACTATTCAGTAGTGACTGGGGTGACTACGGAAAGCAGTGAACATATCCCCAAGGCCAATCTTTTTGCCCAACCTCTTGTGAAAACCTTCCCGTATCAGTCTTTTATTCACATGAGACATACATATTCTGAAACTCTAGACTGAAGCTGAGAGGTTTTTGTTCCAATGCTCTTTGTTGCCAATCTTCCAAACTGGAGAAATTATTAGCTATGGCCCATAAATTAATGTGGACATATGGCTCTACTCTTCACAGATAAGTGGGTCACACAGTGCGCAATCTGAGGTGCTATCCACTGTGGATCATTTTTTACACTGCCCATCAGGTCACTCACAGTGAGCTTGTCATGCTGCTGGAGTCAGTTCCACTTCCTTTTTTCAGATTTATTTTGGGGCCAGTATTGTGGCACAGTGGGTTAAGGCTCCCCTTGCAAAGTTGGCGTCACATATGGGCCGCACTGGTTCAAGTCCAGACTGCTCCACTTCTGATTTAGCTCCCTGCTAATGTGGCTGGGAAAGCAGAAGATGGACGGACTCTGTCTCTCCCTCTCTCTCTCGTAACTCTGCCTTTCAAATAAATAAATCAATATTTAAAAATATTTATTTTTATTTATTTACTTGAAAGGAAGAGCTATAGAGAGAAAGTGGGAGGGAGAGAAAATGTGGGGGGAGAGAGAAAGAGAGAGAGAGATGTCTGCTTGCCATTGTTTCATTTTCCAAATGGCGTAAATGATCAGGACTGTGCCAGGCCGATGCCAGGAGCCTGGAACTCCATCCGGGTCTCCCACATAGATAGCAAGGACACAAGTACTTGGGCCATCTTCCACTTCCTTCCCAAGAGCTTTAGCAGGGAGCTGGATCAGAATCAGGGCAGCCAGGACATCTATGTGCACTCTGATATGGGATGCAGGTGTTAGAAGTGGCATCTTAACCCACTGCACCACAGCATGGCCCTAGTCAGTCCGTTTCTTCACAAGGGTAACTGAGACATTACAAGGACAAAGATAAATACTGCTATGTAACTGGAGCAAAGCAAAGTATTTCTATTTTGCAAGGGTTCCTGTAGGATGCTTCTTAGTATTGCTATGTCCAGTGGAGCCAGCAGTAAATGAAGCTGGAATGCTGATCATAGGAATCTCTTAATGGCCAGAATAGATGCACTAGAAGTAGGAGCTGCTTGCTCTTGCAACTTGGGGTTTTGGAACCTACTTGAGCCTGTTCAAAAAGAAACAATTTCCAAAGGGTGATGGAATGCTATAAGAAATAATGACTATGTAGCTCAGTACATTAGATAACACATAGTTCAGGGTAGGCAGATTAATTTTCATAGTCACATGGTAGACTATTTAAACTTTACCAGGGTCCAAGCAAAGCAGGGGTTTCTCTAAAGAGAAGGCCGTAGTTACTTGCTGGAAGGATGCTGTACTTTGAAGTTCAAGGACCTGCCCTGCAGCATTATTCTATTAGAGAGTCATCTGTCGCTTGTGTCACACACAAAGCTGGAAGATTTTCAGATGACTTGTTACATTATTAGAGAGGCATAGCTGAATGTCACATATGTTTTCTCAAAAACACTGGGCAAGCACTGTTCCCCTTCTTGGTGCCCCGGAGTGCACAGTGCATTATTTTTCTATTATGTTGTGGGGAGCATTTTGAGAAGCCTGAACCACTGGTCTTTCAGAAATTTTACTGAAGTTTCTTTCTTTGAAATATTTATTTGAAAGGCAGAGTGACAGAGAGAAAGGGAGAGAGATCTTTGCTTGTTCATTCCTTAAAATGCCCACAACAGCCAGGGCTAGGCTGGCCAAAGCCAGGAGCTCAGAACTCCATCTTGGTCTCCCAAACGGATGGGCCAACTTCTGCTGCTTCCCAGGTGTGTTAGCAGAACCTGAAGTGGAGCAGCCGGGACTCCAACCACCACTCTGATGTGAGATGCTGGCACCGAAAGTGGAAGCGTGACATGCTGTACTCAATGCCTGTCCCTTGGTATTTTTCATATATCTTTGCCTTCGGTATGTAAAGTGTCTAGGATACATATTCTCTCTATACACATGCATATTAGCACAATAGCATCAGTTTATAAGCCACTACAATGTTTTGTGACCAAATTAGTTAGAGAATTCATGTTGCTTTTAGGCAGTGAAGCCAGTAAAAGTATGTGTGTCTGTGCCAGGTGAAGGCAAACTACATGTAGTATTCTCTGTTTATTCAGACAGTTTTAGTCAGATCCACAACTACATTCTGGTTTCAGGGCTCGACTGGTTTTCCCAATTTTAAGGACAACACTTTTGAGATGTGATGTTTGATGTATGCCTATTGGGACAACTTGATTAACCCAAAGTAATCCGTCATCATTCTGCAAAACCCATCCGTCTTATGTAAAGACCAGACAGGTCAGTTCAAGGAGGCTATGACAGCAGTTACCAGCTATTCATGTTTCGAGTCTTTAATTGTGACAGCAGTCTTCATGAGTGTGATGTGATTTTCAGCTGGGGAGATATGGTAGCTCTAGAGACTTACATTGGGTCGTTTGTACCATAACAACATTTGTTATTATTTATTTGAAAGAGGGGGGAGGGGAGACCTTCCATCTGCTGGTTCACTCCTCAAATGACTGCAACGGCTAGGGCTGGGTCAGGCTGCAACCAGGAGCCCAGAATTTCATTTGGATCTCCCACGTGAATGGCAGGGCCATCATCTGCTGCCTCCCAAGTGCATTAGCAGGCCGCTGGATTAGAAGCAGAGCAACTGGGATTTGAGCCTGTGCTCTGATATGGGATTCCAGCCTTAGAATCAGCAGCTTAACCTGCTGCACCACAGTGCCAGCCACTACCAGAAAATCACTTAGCTTGAAGGTCAGGGGTCAAGCAGGGATTTTGCAAGTTGCTGAATTTATCTCTTCCAATGCCATTTGGAAAATTGGGAAAATATCAACAAGATTTTTTTTAAAGATTTATTTTTATTTACTTTGAAAGGCAGTTACACAAAGAAAGAGCAATCTTCTATCTGCCAGTTCTCTCTCCAATCACCTGGAGCTTTAGCAGGGTCTCCTACATGGGTGACAGGATCCCAAACACTTGGGCCATCTTCTGCTGCTTTTCACAGGCCATTAGCAGGAGCTGGATTGGAAGCGGAGCTGCTAGGACTTGAATCAGTGCCTGTAATGGGATGCCGGCATTGCAGGTGGCAGCTTTGCCCACTGAGCCGCAGTGCCGGCCCCAACAAGATGGTTGTGTGGAACTGTGGAACCCACTCTAACACTGACTATGCCTTCAAAATCCACATCACCTGGCCCCCATTAGCTCCCATTCTGGCCAGTGGAGCAAAGTAGAAATCTAGGTTCTCAGGGATTAACTGTAGCTCAGAGCTAATGTTCCGTCGTCCCCAAAAATATTTTCCTTCCTCTGATAGTGATTAGTCATCCTTCCAAAATGGCCATTGGAGAAGACCAGATTAAAGACTTATCCATATGTACAAGTGATGTTATCACAGGGCCTTTCTCAAGGCATATCTGGGATTCCTTCTTCATGGATGGGCTTCTTGGTCTGTGAGTGGACTCAAGTCTGGTTGTCTGTGGTTGGATTTTGACTATCTGACATGGCAGATAATTTCACACCTTTGTCCTTAACTAGAGATTTTTTTAAAACTTTTATTTAATAAATATAAATTTCCAAAGTACAACTTTTGGATTACAGTGGCTTCCCCCCCCCCCATAACCTCCCTCCCACCTACAACCCTCCCCTCTCCCACTCCCTCTCCCATTCCATTCACATCAAGATTCATTTTCAATTATCTTTATATACAAAAGATCTATTTAGGACATATTAAGTAAAGATATCAACAGTTTGCACCCACATAGAAACCCAAAGTGGAAAATACTGTTTGAGTACTAGTTATAGCATTAATTCACATTGTACAACACATTAAGGACAGAGATCCCACATGAGGAGTAAGTGCACAGTGACTCCTGTTGTTGATTTAACAATTCACACTCTTATTTATGGTGTCGGTAATCACCTGAGGCTCTTGTCATGAGCTGCCAAGACTATGGAAGCCTCTTGAGTTTGCCAACTCTGATCTTATTTAGACAAGGCCATAGTCAAAGTGGAAGTTCTCTCCTCCCTTCAGAGAAAGGTACCTCCTTCTTTGATGGCCCGTTCTTTCCACTGGGATCTCACTCACAGAGATCTTTCTTTTTTCTTTTTTTTTTTTTTGCCACAGTGTCTTGGCTTTCCATGCCTGAAATACCTGGCGCTGGTACATGCCACCTTGATGGGATTGAATTGGAATCCCCTGGCATGTTTCTAACTCTACCATTAGGGGTAAGTCCGATTGAGCATGTGCCGAACTGTACATCTCCTCCCTCTCTTATTCCCACTCTTATATTTAACTGGGATCACTTTTCATTAACTAGAGATTGTTAATATTTTGTTATCGTTTACTTATGGGTTGGCCCTCTCCCCATTTATATTTAATATTTTAAAAAGATTTATCTTTTAATTATTTGAAAGGCAGAGTTAGAGAGAGAGAGATATTTCATCCGCTGGTTCATACCCCAAATGGCCCCAATGGCCAGGGCTGTGCCAGGTCTCCAATGTGGGTGCAGAGGCTCAAACACTTGGGCAATCTTCCTCTGCTTTCCCAGGCACATTAGCAGAGAGCTGGATTGGAAGTGGAGCAGCCAGGTGTTGAACTGATGCCCATACGGGATGCTGATGTCACAGGTAGCGGCTTAATCCACTACACCACAACAATGGTTTCAGCATGTATATTTTTGTACTGGCAATTCCATGATAAATTGTTCCTGTCAAAAATTGCTTTTTTAAAAAAGATTTATTTATTTATTTGAAAGTCAGAGTTACACAGAGAGAGAGAGAGAGAGAGAGAAAGAGAGGGAGAGACGTCTTCTATCATTGGTTCACTCCCCAAATGGCCACAACTGCCAGAGCTGCGCCGATCCGAATCCAGGAGCCAGGAGCTTCCTCTGGGTCTCCCACGCCAGTGCAGGGGCCCAAGGACTTGGACCATCTTCTACTGCTTTCCCAGGCCACAGCAGAGAGCTGGATTGGAAGTGGAGCAGCCGGGTCTCGAACCGGCACCCATATGGGATGCGGCGTTTCAGGCCAGGGCATTAATCCACTGTGCCACAGCGCCGACCCCAAAAATCGCTTTCTTATAAATCATAAAGATTATTGTATCTGCCTATTGCCTATTACCATACTTATGTCCATCTTGTCTCATGAAGTTAGGAACTTCTATTCAACCTTTGCCAATCAAAAATCTGCTCATCAGAGAGCCCATTTTCATGGCAGAGTCTCTTGCCCAAACAAAGAGTATTTTTCAAAGATGTTGGTTCATCACTTACCAATGTGTGTGTGTGTGAGTGTATGTATCTGTATGTGTTTGGTTTACAAATATAAATATTCATCAACATTTTATTTTATCCAAAACCTGTGTATTGCTACATAACAACTTTTTAAAAAAAATCTTTATTTAGTGAAGACTACCACTGAATCTAGATTTCTGTGAACTAATTAAGAAAAACTGTAAATTTTAACTTCATGACCTAGCGGATTGAATCTGGAATCTCTAATAAATATATTCATATCAATAACAGACCAACCTAAATTTATATTCTTCTTTTACTTCCCTAAGTGGTGTTTCAACTACTAATGTTGTGTAAACAGCTACCTCAAACTAAGTGCCATTGAAAAAAATTCTTGTTGGTGCTAAGTTATGGTTAGATAAGAGGAAGATGTTCAGGGCCGGCGCTGTGGCATAGTGAGTGAAGCAGCTGCCTGCAGTGCCGGCATCCCATATGGGCACTTGTTTGAGTCCTGGCTGCTCCACTTCTGATCCAGCTCTCTGTTATGGCCTGAGAAAGCAGTAGAAGATGGCCCAAGTCTTTGGTCCCCTGCACTTGTGAGGGAAGACACGGAGGAAGCTCCTGGCTCTTAGCTTCGAATTGGCACAGCTCCAGCTATTGCGGTCATCTGGGGAGTGAACCAGCAGATGGAAGACCTCTCTCTCTCTCTCTCTCTCTGCCTCTCCTTCTCTCTCTGTGTAACTCTGACTTTCAAATAAATAAATCTTTAAAAATAAAAAAGAGTAAGATGTTCTGATGTTCTACTACATAGGGAGACCCAAGATAACATGCGGTATATTTCTCTTTAAACAATAAAGGATTAAATTGTTAAATTTTTAAAGATATAAAAATGCTTAATTGAACACTACACAAGGTATACTTGTATTGAAACATTACATGGTGCTCTATTAATATGTAATCTTTTATATGTCGGTTAAAATTTTTAAAAATCATTTTTGAAAAATGACAAGTTTATTTTGGTGCAGAAAAATAAAATAAAATGTAACAAAAAGGCCGGCGCTGCATCTCACTTGGCTTATCCTCCGCCTGCGGCGCCAGCATCCTGGGTTCTAGTCCCGGTTGGGCCAGTTCTGTCCCAGTTGCTCCTCTTCCAGTCCAGCTCTCTGCTGTGGCCTGGGAAGGCAGTGGAGGATGGCCCAAGTCCTTGGGCCCTGCACCTGCATGGGAGGCCAGGAGAAGCACCTGGCTCCTGCCTTTGGATCCGTGCAGTGCGCTGGCTGTAGCGGCCATTTGGGGGGTGAACCAACGGAGGGAAGACCTTTCTCTCTGTCTCTCTCTCTCTCTCTCTCACTGTCTAACTCTGCCTGTCAAAAAAAAAAAAAAAAAAAGTACCAAAAAATGTTATGCTCATGGAGTCCTACAGTCAGGAATTCAGAGAGGGTATAGTGCAGATGGCTTCTCTTTGTTTTGTGGTGTCTGAGGCCTCAGTTGGGAATACTTGAAAGCTGGGGTGGATGGGGTGCTGAGTGAGGGCCTGACCACTCACCTGTTGAGACTGATACTGGGTGTTCAGCTGAGGCTTTGGCCTAGGAGTACTACCCGTGGCCTCTTTAAATGATAGTTTGGACTCTGTTTTTTAAGATATATTTATTTGAAATGCATAGTTTACAGAGAGAGAGAGAGAGAGAGAGAGGGAGGGAGAGACAGATCTTCCATCTACTGGTTCACTCCCCAAATGGACATAACAGCCAGAGTTGGGCCAGGCTAAAGCATGGAGCCTGGAGCCTGGAGCCTGGAGCCTGGAGCCTGGAGCCTGGAGCCTCCTCTGGGTCTTCTGTATGGGTGCAGGGGCCAAGCACTAAGTCATCCTCTGCTGCTTTCCCAGGCGCATTAGCAGGAAGTTTTATTGGAAGTGGAGCAGCCAGGTCTTGAACCAGCGCCCTTATGGGATGCTGGCATCACAGGCAGTAGCTTTATTTTTATTTTTATTTTTTAACAAATTATTTTTTAGAAAACTTCTATTTAATTTTTTTTTATTTTTTATTTAGTAAATATAAATTTTCAAAGTACGGTTAATGGATTACAATGGCTTCCCCCCAATAAATATAAATATTGCAAGTACAACTTTTGGATTATAGTGTCCCCCCCCCCCCCATAACCAACCTCCCACCCACAGACCATCCCATCTCCAACTCCCTCTCCCATCCCATTGTTCATTAAGATTCGTTTTTAATTATCTTTATATACAGAAGATCAACTTAGTATATACCAAGTAAAGATTTCAACAGTTTACACCCACACAGACACACAAAGTATAAAGTATTGTTTGAAGACTATTTTTTAAAAAATTTATTTATTTGACAGATAGAGTTATAGACAGTGAGAGAGAGAGACAGAGAGAAAGGTCTTCCTTCCGTTGGTTCATTCCCCAAATGGCCGCTACGGTCGGCGCTGTGCCGATCCGAAGCCAGGAGCCAGGTGCTTCTTCCTGGTCTCCCATGCGGGTGTAGGCGCCCAAGCACTTGGGCCATCCTCCACTGCCCTCCCGGGCCACAGCAGAGAGCTGGACTAGAAGAGGAGCAACCAGGACTAGGACCCGGCACCCATATGGGATGCCAGCACCGCAGGCGGAGGATTAACCAAGTTAGCCTCGGCGCCGGCCCTTGAAAACTATTTTACCATTAATTCTCATAGTACAACACATTAAGGACAGAGATCCTACATGGGGAGAAAGTGCACAGTGACTCCTGTTGTTGATTTAACAATTGACATTCTTATTTATGACGTCAGTAATCACCCGAGGCTCTTGTCATGAGCTGCCAAGGCTATGGAAGCCTCTTGAGACAGGCAGTAGCTGTACCCACTATGCCATAACACTGCCCTCAGCTTGGGCTTCGTTAGAGCATGGTGGTTGAATTTCAAGGGGGGGGGGGGGTCATCCCAAATACAGTGAGAGGAAATTATTGCCTTTTTATTTTTTAAAGATTTATTTATTTATTTAAATGCAGCGTTACAGAGAAAGAGAGAGGGTGCGATAGAGAGAGGTCTTCCATATGCTGGTTCACTCCTCAGATGCCCACAGTAGCCAGGAGTCAGGAGCTTCTCCCAGGTTTCCTGCATGAAGCACTTTGGCCATCCTCTGCTACTTTCCCAGGCCATTAGCTGGGAGTTGGATAAGAAGTGGAGCATCTGGGACTAAAACCCGCACCCAAATGGGATGCTGGTGCTGCAAGTGTCAGCTTAACTGCTGTGCCACAGCACTGGCCCTGAACTACTGCCTTTTATAACCTAACCTGAAAGTCACATAGCCTTACTTCTGCCAGTCATAAGCCCACTAGGATTCAAGAGAAAGTAACAAGAGACATTAACTCTTGATGGAAGGACTATAAATGAGTGTATGTAATGGGAGACGTTGTTCATCCATCATTGGAAAATCCTATATATATTTTTTTAAGATTTATTTATTTGGGGCCAGCGCCGTGGCTCACTTGGTTAATCCTCTGCCTGTGGCGCCAGCATCCCATATGGGCGCCGGTTCTAGTCCCGGTTGCTCCTCTTCCAGTCCAGCTCTCTGCTGTGGCCTGGGAGGGCAGTGCACCCGCATGGGAGACCAGGAAGAAGCACCTGGCTCCTGGCTTCGGATTGGCGCAGCGCCGGCCGTAGCGGCCATTTGGGTGGTGAACCAACGTAAGGAAGACCTTTCTCTCTCTCTCTCTCACTGTCTATAACCCTACCTGTCAAATAATAATAATAATAATAAAGATTTATTTATTTATTTGAAAGGCAGAGTAACAGAGGCAGAGGCAGAGAGAGAGGTCTTCCATCCACTGGTTCACTCCCCAAATGGCCACAACAGCTAGAGCTGGGCTGATCCAAAGCCAGGAGCCAGGAGCTTCTTCCAGGTCTCCCACCTGGGCACAAGGGCTCAAGCATTTGGGCCATCCTCTACTGCTTTCCCAGGCCACAGCAGAGAGCTGGATCGGAAGTGGA